TAAAATAATATTTTAAATTATAAAATATTAAATTAAATAATTATTTTATAATAAATTTATTAAAATATATTAATATTTTAATTTTTTGGACCATAATTCAGATAAAATTTCGGACGTTGTAGTAATGCTCTATTTATTAACAGACATTATCAACAGCAACAAAAATTATACCACACATTTGACATACAAAAATTCCACATACATCGGTGACGTGACATGATTTTTCTATGATGTGAGATGTTTGTTAACACTTCAGAGTGGGTACGCAAATGGCTAGAAGACAATAGTCTTAGGCAAACATATATCTCAAAGGAAATAATTCAGGTAATATGACGTAATCTTAATTATATAATACTTTTTCTGGTTACGAATATAACTAAAAAAAACTCTATATTTATTGATTTTAAATATAAATAAATCTCAATTATAATTATAATTATAATTATAATTCATGTGTTTTCTATTTAGCATGCAAATTTCTACAAACCTTCAGATAAAACACAGTTTCAGGACAAGAGAAGTAAATGTTGTTGCGGAGAAGTTGCCTCCATGTTGTTTACACAGCCATACAAGTCATCAGCAGTGGATAGCTCCCCCTATACGTATGTTTATTTGATTAATCCTCAGTTAATTCTGTAATTTTCTGTTCTTTTTTTGGTCTTTTGTTTTCTTATATTACAAAAAAAAACTCCCAAATACATTTTTTTAAAAAAAAAAACATTACTCTCTCCAATTTTAAATATAAGAAGAAAAAAATCATTCACACTAATTAAAAAAAATATTTACATCACTTAATTTTGTTAATCTCATCTAAAAAATATTTTTTTTTAAATTATCAGTCCTTAAAACTTGATATAAAAATAAAAAGAGACATTAAAAATATAATCTTAATTAAACAAAAAAAATATTTTAGAGATGACAGCATTCAATAGAATGAAACTAATTAAATTTTTTTTATAATTAAAATAATAAATATGATTTTTTTAAATATTCAGAACCAGAAAAAATACATTTATCAGTTATTATTAAAGAATATGTCAAACGAAAGAATACCATACAGAAATTTCATATGACCGTTACAACTTCTAGATCTGACGCACTATGACTTTTCTATGAGGTGAGATGTTGTTACTTGTTGTTAGGACTTTAACGTAGATAAGTAAATTGCTGGAAAATAATATTATAGATATATCACATAGGTGAATTAATATCCTGAAGGAAATATTCACGTAATATGAGATAACCTAAATTATATAACAGTTATTAATAAATTTTGATATAATCTGAATTTATATATTAAATATCGACAATTATACTGTGTAAGAATGTTTTTATAAATTTTTCTTTCATGATAGGATTTTAAATTTTTTTATCTAACTTAATTTTTATTTATCATAATTATTTATAAATTAAATATAATATTTTTAAAATAAATTATTAATAAATAAAAATAATATTGTACTATAATTTAAATTATTTAT